AAAGAAAAAGAGAAGAGAAAAATAAAGACAAGAATAAAAAGGAAGATATCATAATGACTCACAACACCCTGCAACCCCTTCTCCACTTCAAAAACTGTCATAACTCCTTTGATCTATGCTGCCCGATGGCGTAACCACTGGGGGACAAGGGGAAAATATATCTATCTTTGGAAATCTTCCCCACCCCTTTATAAATGCCCTTTCATCCCCTGAAAGTGCCTAGAAACCTCAAATTCCTTGTTGACATGGGCCAATTTCCTCTAAAAATTGCACATTTTAGGAAGTTTTGATCAATTCCAACGAAATTAGAATTAAAAACACCGGGGGACAAGGGGAAAATATCAATCTTTGGAAATTCTCAAATTCTTTGCGCGCATTTCTTGTTACGGTAGGCCAATTTCCTCTATAAATTGCACATTTTAGGGAGTTTTCATCAATTCCGACGAAATTAGAATTAAAAACACAAAAATATTTTGCGCGCTTCGCCCGCATTTTTTAGGGCATTTTTAGGTTTATCTTTTTAAGTTATTTAAACACATAATAGTCCCAAACTTAAGAAAGACGAATTTAAGATAGATCGTTTTAACATAAAAGAAGGGCCTCAATGTGTATTGATGGTGAAAGAATATGTTTGTAATAAATAAAACCATGATGAAAATGCTTATATTTATAGTTTCAAACACACGTATGTGGCCTATATTATGAATAAGATAAGCCCTATGTCGGCGTATCGTTTTCTATATGGGGGTGGGTATGGTAAATTACTAACCGGGAAAATAAATACACACTCTGACCCAAGACCCCTGTTAAGCACCTGGTGTTAGCACCAATGTGTGCCCTTGTGCGGACAGGGGATGTGCCCCCCTCTGAAGCTGGAAACCTTGTTTTTGCAAAATAAATTGATGCAATTTGCTATTATAGGCCTAATCAATAAATTCCTCATCAACCGATATAGCCTTAAACATTCTTGGAATTGACATAACATTACTGATGTCGTACACACCCTTCAATGTGAAATGTGGCTCTCTTTGCAAGCACATCTAACATCTAAGGAAAGAAGAGCTTAGATTGGTACCAGATAAAATCATTTTGTTATCAACATTATGATACATTATGCTAATTTTCATCTTTCCGTTGAGCTTCTTGCTTGCTCTCGCGCGGGAGGCTCCTGTCGATTTTAGACTCGCGGGACTCTGCAGAAGAGACATTGGACCCCTGGACACTCAATACATTATATTACTCCAAAATGAAAATAGGAAATAATAAATTAAATGTTTTAAAATAGGTGTACAGACTGCATGCTGTTATTTATTCTTAATAAAGTATTTCATTGTGCCAGACATCAATTCATGTAGGCTACTCATTTTACCCAACTTTCCAATCCATTAAAATACTAAACATTAGGTCTATCGTTTTTTAATATACTGTACGCAAAACATACATGTACATAATATCATATTATGTTGTGCATTGGCTAATATTTTTATGTTTTGGTTTTCTTTGCTATAACAATTTCAGTTGGTGTATTTTGGTAAACTTTTTGTATGTTATGAAGATAAAATTTCGGATACTAGGCTTATATATTCTTGAAAAAACGTTTTGTTGTAACTATGTCTAACTTTGGTGTTTCAAATCCGTATTTTGTGGAAAACTGAGGAGGTTTGCTATATAAAAGGAAATGATGATTACAATGCAGTTTGTCAATATTAAAGTAGGCAATTTTACGACAAAAATATAGTTAAAACAAGGCATGCTTATTATCGATATAATCACAATAGTAATTCTTTATCTGATGATGACAACGTCATTATCATCTCTCGTCAATATCTAACACAATTCATAATTCATTATCATTATCATCAGCATCATCAACATTTTTACATCATTAACATCTATCATCATTCCGTTATTAGGCCTAAATATTATTATCATTATTATTATTATTATTATTATTATTATTATTTTTATTATTATTATTATTATTATTATTATTATTATTACTATTATTAATAATAGTATTATATTAATAATATTATTATTATTATTATTATTATTATTATTATTATTATTATTTTAATTATGATATCACTGCAGCCACCTCATCCAACATTTTTTTTACAAGTCTCTCCAAAAGAGGGCGTTTTCAGGATGACATTTACACAACACGTTTAAAGAAAAATACAGTAGTGACATTATTCAATATTTTAAAGTGCAATTTTATAATTTTTATAAGCTTTTAGTCGACTTAACCTTGGCAATATGAGTAAAACACAAAACAGATTTGATACGTAAGTATTCTACATTTTTAGTAATCTATAAATTGTCAATATTGTCAGCCATGCTGATAGTAGGCTAGGCCTAGGTAGGGCCTAACTAGTCAAGGCTAGGCTAGCTAGGCCTGGGCTGGAAGGACATGTAGTCAGAGTCACTTCTCTAGGCCTAGTAGTAGGCTAGTTATAAGTTGGTTGCTCCCAGCTTAGGTGCCATGACTAGTGGCCTAGGTCTGCACGGGGTTTACGCTTTCTGCTCAGGACCAATGATAGGTATTGCTGCATGTATGTATCTCTTGTGAAAAATGCTTTTTTACAAGTAGGCCTACCTAGTCCTAGGCTAGGCCCTAAGCTAGGCCTATATAATATAGGCCTACTAGCTAGGGGCCTAGGCCTAGGTAGGCTAGGTTGATTTAAAGTGCAGGTAAAGTGCACGCAGTTAGAAAATATTTATATATCCCTCCCCTAGCCTGGCTAGACCCTCTTTTCTAGTTCTTTATCCTAGGCCTACTTGTCTACTATGCTACTACTTCTACTACTAACTAGCCTAGGCCTATATCCCAATGTGGAAACATGGCCAGACTGTAAAGTAAGGCCTAGATAGAAATGCATCCCCACATTCCGAAAAAATAAGGGCTGATTTCAGCGCAGATTTTGCCGAAAATTGAGCTTTGAACTAATCTTAATATTCAGCCAATGTATCATGCAGCAATTTTGCGCAATTAAGGGCTACTACTAGTTCCTAGGCTACCTAAATTTCAGAATATTTAATTTAAAGTCCTATTCCCGGCAAAATTTTTGTTGTTAAGAAAAATCTGATTTTTATATGTTATAAAGATTTATAAACATAATACGAAATTGCTAGTTTAACTGAATTTAGACATTCCTAAACGTGAAAAAAATGTAAAATAAGACTGAAATTTGATTTTTTTTTTTTTTTTTTTTTTCACACAAAAAATAAATGCGAATGAAATTTTTAGGTCTGATTGCCGGAAACATTACCCTATCTAACACTGCTAGGCTAGGCCTACTGTCTGTATCCTTACCTCGATTTAGGTTCTGTTATCACACATAAAAACGGCCAACATTTTATTTTCCGTTGCTAGTATTGACACTTGTGAAATATAATATTTCATAGGAATTATTTCAAATCTGTTAAAAAAATGATTCTGACCGAGATTTTGACAACCAAACAAACATATCTCAGGCCTACTCAATCGACCGCAGTGTGTGAGATGCGAAGTACAAAAACTAATTTCATTAGAGAGGGTGCACTTTATTGACTGTATAAAGTATACATAAAACGAGAGCATTCCAGCTGATGCGATCTACAACCTCTGAATTTGCCTAGTAATTTTTAAATTTCTTTTGCGTAAAACAAAAATTTATGACAATATTTTTCCATTGTTTATAATAATCAGAGTAATGAATGCATTTAAAAAAAAAAAAGTCTTAGTGAAATTTTGCCGGGAATGGGGCTTTAAGAATTCTTAATATTATTTTACTGCTCAGCCTTCTGCCACCATCAGCTAATTTTCTAACCAGAATTTGAAACAATTGAAGTAATACTATGTGTAATCGTTATTTTTCTTTCCATGTCAAATGGAAATTATCTATAATCCAGACTATAAAATAGTTCCTGCCTGGAAAATATCCCTTGTGCAAAAATATAAAAAATAGGAGCTAATTTCCACGCAATTGGAAAAAAAATGGCCTTCGTGGCCAATACCTCAATAGCAGTGGTTTACGATTTGGCACACTTACTGTATTTTCCTACCAAATTTTCATGCAAATATGAGTTGTTTTTGATGTATTCCCTCACAAATAGATTACTTTTCAATTCTTTTAGATGTCCCACATTTTACAATTAATTCTGATAAACTTTTAAAAGAAAATCACCATTTTTCGATGGCATGCTATGCAGTAAATTCTTGCTTTTTTTTTTCACTGCAGTTTTGTTTGTACCTGACTAAAAATTCTATCAATCTTTGATACTTCTTTTTTCTTCCCAAAAGTCTTGATGATGAAAATAATGGAGAAGACTCTGAAAATACCAAAGATAGTAAAGATGATCAACAGAAGAAGCAAACTCTTGTAAGTATGGAAGGCCAAGCATGTAAACTATTGCATTATGTGTATAATCCATGATCAGAAGAATGAGGTACTTGTATTTCAATCATTTTGTTGCAAAAGAATAAATATAACATACAAAACAAGCTAGGTCACATTCTTTCCCTGACAAAAAGGAGAAAAGCACAAAAAATAAGTTTGAAAATTATAAGACATTTTAAAAATAATTGATTGATTTATTAAGAATATTAGTAGATGCAAAGCTTGTTTCATGATAGTGTTATTATGAAAACTCAAATTCTTTTCAGATTAAACCAAAGATAAATCCTGGTGACCACAAGCTTCAATTTGTTTATACTTTATGGTTCTCCAGACGTAGTCCTGGCAACAAAGCATCCTCCTCAAACTATGAAGACAATATAAAAATGGTTGCAACATTCGCATCAGTGAGTAGATTTGCACCACTAGGCAGTGCATGCCCCACCGCCTCCTTCCTCCCCTTAAAAAATTTGCACCATCATAGTCGCCCACTCACCCATTTAAAATGTTGAATCACACTTTCTTTATTCTTTTTATAAAATTTTATGATGAAATACATTTTTACAAGGATGTAATTTTTTATAGATATTTTAATATTTTAATTAACTATTATTATTCTCAGGCATCCCGGTAAAGCATAGTTATTTTTTTATATTATTTTGTTATAAAAATACAAGCAAAGTGCAGTAGAAATGGCTACATTTTTTTAATGCAATAACTAGGCACTATAGATGATTAATTGATCGTTGGTGATGATTTAGGGCTAATATTCAATATTTGTACCAGTTATGAAATTACTTTAGGGGTTGGATCCCAGCCTTAGATTTGAAACCTTTGTTTCTTTGTTAGAATCTTTCTATAGCACTGTACCACATACTCCATCATTTGAAATATCACCTTATGTTGACTTGTTTTCTTTCTACAGGTGGAACAGTTCTGGTCTTTTTACAGCTTCCTCACTAGGCCCTGTGACCTTACAAGTAGTAGTGACTACCACCTCTTCAAGCAAGGAATAAAGCCAATGTGGGAGGTACAACTCACTCTATTTTTGCATCTGCCCTTTTTCAGTCAAGCTTATTAAGTTTGTGTCGAGATGTGGAGATATGTATCATGTGACTTTTTCGTTAACTCTCACAGACCTCGCGTAGGTCTATAATTGATTACTATTAGCTATTACAACTTGGTCTATAATGATTACCATGCATTGATCCAGTATTGTGCATCTAATAAAAGTTCCCAATTCTTTACACTTTCTCCCTTCAGCTTCAACCATGATGGGGCTCAGGTGGATATAGTAATTTTCCTAGTTTTACGTATTAAATTGCCATTTTCTGGCATCTGAAACTTCTCACTTCTTAAATTTTCTTACCTCAGCCTCATCCATGATGGAGCTTATGTGGATATAGTAATTTTCGTAGTTTTACTTATTAAAGTGCCATTTTCCGGCATCTAAAAGTCTCAAATTCTTACAATTGTCTTACACTTACCTCAACCTCAGCCATAGTGGACTGAGGTGGGTGGATTGGTAGTTTTGATAAATTTTAGGTATCCAAGTGCAGTTTTCAGGATCTGAATGTTTCAAATTCTTAAAATTTACTCATCTGCACCCCAAAACCATGGTGTGGCTCAGGTAGATATCATATATTTTGTACTATTCAAGTGCAAGTTTTGGGCATCTATACGAGTCTCAAATTCTAAAAATGTTCCGACCTCAGTTGGATATGGTAGTTTTTAGAATTTTAAAAATTTAAGTGCAGGTAAATTTAATTAATTCAGGGGTTTTTTTTAACTCAATTCATCAAAAATAAAATAATTAAAAAAGGTAATTTAAGTTCCATTTCCGGGCATCCAGAGAGGTATAAAATACTGAAATTTTCACGTCACCGCCAACCATGATGGCGTTGACGTGGTGTAGACTCTGATTTCTTCAGCACCTCTCTGAAAACAATGTTTAAGCCAAATATATTTTCATTCGTTTTGTTGTTCATGTGAATATCTGATAGGTTATTGCAACATAGACACATGTAGGACTGAGCTGAGCGACTCCGAGTTAGTAGCGGTTACGTAACGTTTGTGATGCACTGTATCATGCGCTATAGAAATGGAAGACCATAGTGTAATGGGAATGTACCTCCCTGGTAGGGCCTACAGTACAATCAGTGTAAAAGTGTAAGATATAGGCTAGTGTGGATTTAAACCGTGTCTTAATGGTAATATTCAAAGTAAGTGTCAAGAAAAGTTAGTAGGCCTATAGTTGTAGGAAAAATGGTCAACATTTTATTTTTATTTCTCACCTTGGCGAACTGAGCAAAGGTCTGGATCCGCACCTGATTACTAAGCTAATTAAGTACATGGATCAGGTTTATGGTGGGTAGAGGTGGGCTAATTCACAGCCCTCCACCCGGCTTTATTAACCCCTTGTCCATCCTTAAAATCAACTCGTATTATCTAGTGTTCATGTTATCATCCATTTACCCTTAAAATGTGCACCCACCCTTGGTTTTCTGCAGCTATAAACCAGATACAGTAGATGTTACATTGGTTTTATTGTAATAATTTGCTAGATTTTACAGGTGAATTGGGTCGAGGGTCAATAATTGTTGTACAATAATTGTGAATCCAAAATGCGGGCACTCACTGCATTGCCCATCAGGCGCACGGCCGACGAATCCAACGAATGCGATACTATCTGCTGATTGTCGATGGCAGTCTGAACGAATCAGACTGCCATGAAATGAAATTAAATTAAATCATCATTAAAACCAGTTTGTTAGTGCTTGTCTTGGCATTGCTTTCTCTATAAAATCGTGTCGGCAAGCGAACGTTGGCCGCAGTGTATGGCCGGCTTTACTACTCCAGTTATCCATCAATCTTTCGTTGCATTAAATGATTATTGCCAACAGCTTTGTGGCTTTGTTTATAGCTGCTTCAGGATGTGTTCTTAGGCCGTCTTTTATCAATCTTTTTATTCTTTAAAGGATGATGCCAACAAAACAGGGGGGAAATGGATTGTACGTTTAAGGAAAGGTCTTGCCTCACGGCTTTGGGAGAATCTAATTCTAGCAATGCTTGGCGAACAGTTCATGGTCGGTGATGAGATTTGTGGTGCCGTTGTGTCAATACGATTTGCGGTATGTCAAAACTTTTACCTTTTCGGAGTCATTAAATTACTTATAGTATGTGCTGTATCACTGCCAAAATACTTGGTATATATTGGATTCCAGTCAGTGATAATATAAAAAAATAATAAATTTTGGCATCAATGGCATTCCAAATACAAATTCAAAATTCTTTATTTGTCAATATCCATATACATTAACAAACAAACAAAAATTTAAGCAAGACAAAATGGAACATCTTAAAGCCCTAAGGGGCTTGTTAAAAAATAGAGAGGGGCTCACACAATAAAGCCAAATTTAAGATTAATTTAAAATAACTTGTAACAATGCAAAGAAGTGTACTCTAAACAATAAAACAATAACACACACTTAAACTAATCTACAACAAAGTTTGTAAGTAAAAAGATACAGTAATATCAATGTTTGAAATGATATAAATAAAATATAAATAGTAATATAAATGCAAAGGAAGAAAATATAAAGTTGTAATTCCATAATTTTTACTTCTTTGCACCAATGGCATTCTATACTATACTTTTTTCCACGATCCAAATTCAACAAAATAACTGGTGGCGCTCTCCGAAAGTTTTTAACATTAGGAAAAATTAATAAATTGTAGACTTTTGTCAAAAATTCAGACATTTATCCCTTTCCAGTCATATGGCGACGACGCCCTCTTTGACCATACTTTATAGCGAAGGGCATCGTACGTACGCCCTGTATAGATTTCATGATAATTATTTTAAAGCTAGGTTGCCCTCTATAGAATTTTTTGAGAGTGATGTAGATGTATTTCTGTAGAGGGCCTCCTGTATTCAGACCAAGTAGAAACCCGACATTTAGTGTAGATGATGTAATTTCTTAGCTTTGGTACAGCCTCAGGCAAAGGTAATGGGGTTAATAAGACATTTAAATTGATCAAATAAGATATCATCTAAAATAACACACACAAACTTTTAAATTTTTGTTTATTTACAGATCTTTAAATTTATTACCAGCAAATTTAAGGGTCTTTATATATATAAACTATCTTTTATATACTTCTATACCTCGTGCTATGCTGTTATTTTTCTTTTTGCATAGTGAAAACAACAATATTTAATGATTTGGTGATGGTTTCTGCCTGAGAAATGCCCGAAATCATAAACTTTGAAGGCTGATTTCTCAAATATTGTTCTTTAAACAGCTGTATGTTTAAACAGTTGTAACTTCAAAAGGAAATATCAAATTTAAATGATTCTTTTACCATTTTATAGCTCTCATTTTTACTATTTAACCCTTTATTAATAACTAAAAATCTGTTTTTGCGACAGGTGACTGGTTTGGCTTGTCTTTGCCACATATGGGGATGGTATTTTTTATAGATCTGTTAATTCTCAAGGAAGATATTTTAAAAGTTAATAACTTACTTCAATATATAAATAAAGTAATTGAACTATTGAGCTATACAGGTCTTTAACTTTTGGTTGTGTGATTCCTGTTACTGTATATAGGAGGATATAATATCTATTTGGAATAGAACGGCGAGCGACCGAACAATAACATCAAGAATACGTGACACTTTAAAACGTGTCTTAAATCTTCCACTCAGCACCATTATGGAGTACAAGGCTCATACAGACAGTATCAAGTAAATATTCATATTTTTATTATATCATAATTTGTATTGTATTTTTATGTTATTATATTTATATATAATGTATTTATATTTGTGGCGAAGACAAGTTACAGCAACCACTCCTCAGAAATCTTGTTTCGGAGATAGTGGCCAAAACATGGGGAAATGTCAACATTTTTGAAATCTATTTTGTTCACTAAAAAAACTTTATATATATGTACATCATACTATGTTGTTATTTTCCCCATTTTTGACGTTAAAACAACATTTTTTAACAATGTGGTGATTTTCTTTGCTTGAGAAATGGCTGAATCATAAACTTTGCAGGCTGATTTCTCAAATACTTTTCTTTAAGCAGCCGTATGTTTGAATTCTTGTAACTTCATAACGAAATGTCGGATTTAAATGATTCTTTTATCATTTTATAACTTTCATTTTACTACTTAACCCTGTATTAATAACTAAAAATCAACTTTTGTGATGAGTGACTGGTTTCGCTTGTTCTTGTCATTAAAATTTTTTTGTACAGTTGATAAAAAGTTTTATCTGCATGATGAATTGTTCAGTTAGTGCCTTTGTATTAACTTTTTAATACCTTTTTATTGTTTTTTCTTTTATTTTGCTGTTTTGCTTTAGTTTTAGAATATTGTAGATAGGATTGGGAACCCATTGGAAATAAGTGGTTTTTTCACTTTATAGGTTATCCCAGGTTTCACCTTTAGATAAATGCTTTGTTCTATAATAAGTTTAATCTCTTAATTACTTTACATGATGTTTTTAGATATTAATTGTTTTGTGGTGGGTTTTAGATTATTTTTATAATATCGTATTTCTATGCATTTTAAAGTGGAACCAAAAAAATTCAAATCAAATGAAAATGTGTATGTGTGCAAAGTTCTTTTGTAATTATTTGTGTGCAAGTTTTCCCTTACAAGCATTATGTTTTTTATTGTTACAGGGATCAATCCAGTTTTCGGAACACAGATGTTTTCATGAGGTGATCGTTGTCAGAGGCAAGAAAGCTACAACTGTTGGTGTGTTTTGGTACAAGGCATCTTCATGATTCATGTTTTTTGCTGTATTTATTATATATAATATTTGTGCTTAGATAAACAACATTAGTACTAGTTGTATTTTATTTATAAATAATGCACTTGCCATTAAATTATTTTATAATTATTGGTTAACATTCAGTTCTATCATTTCTATTTAGAAGGTGAAAGCCCCATTCCCGGCAAAATTTCACTAAAAACAGATTTTTTTTTTTTTTAGAAAAGATGCATGTGCATTACTCCAATTATTATAAATCATTGAAAAATATTAGCATAAATTTTAGTTTTACGCAAAAGAACAAAAAAAAAAGAGAAATACAGACTATTTCTCATAGAATATTACCATTTTCTCGACGAATTCTTCATTACTAGGCAAATTCGGAGGTTGTAGATCGCATCCGCTGGAATGCTCACGCTTTATGTATACTTTATAGTCAATAAAGTGCGCCCTCTCTAATGGATTAGTTTTTGTACTTCGCATCTCGCACAATGCGGTCGTTCGAGTAGGCCTGAGATATGTTTGTTTAAGTGTCAAAATCTCTGTCAAAATCAGTTTTTTAACAAATTTGAAATAATTCCTATGAAATATTATATTTCACAAGTGTCAATACTAGCAACGGAAAATATCATGTCGGCCATTTTTATGTGTGATAACAGAACCTAAATCGAGGTAAGGCTAGGCCTATCCTAGCAGTGTTGGATAGACTAATGTTTTCGGCGCCTACTATATTTCTTCGCACAACCTATTGCAAAATCAAACATGCAAAATTCATCCGCATTTATTTTTTGTGTAGAACACAAAAAATCAAATTTCAGCCTTATTTTACATTTTTTTCATGCTTAGGAATGTCAAAATTTAGTTAAACTAGCAATTCCGTATTATATTTATAAACCTTATAACATTATTCAAAAATCAGATTTTTCTTAACAACTGAAATTTTGCCGGGAATGGGGCTTTAAGTTGTGTCTCTTAAAGAAACATATAGAACACAGGTAGCACTTCATTGAGTAACTCAAGGTTTATTAAGCACTGTTCTGATTACCAAGTTTTCTTTGACTAAACACTCTTGTATGCCCATATATAGTCATGATGTGCCTATATATGTTTATGATGTGATGTCATGACCATATTTGGGCATGTCACATGTTTTGTTTTTTTTAATAGAATGTGATAGTCTGGACATGGCTTCCACAAAATTTAACTATCTATATATTCTGACTTCATCAGTTGCACTGGAGACTGCTGGCTAAATCTTGAGTAATAATGTATTTATTCAAATACATGCTCCAGGTTATTTCTTGCTCATGGGTGGGGGTTTTAAGGGGGTTTCAAATACATGCTCCAGGTTATTTCTTGCTCATGGGTGGGGGTTTTAAGGGGGTAGTTTATGTGAAGGGAGCATTTATCCAAAGGAGGATTTTTTTATTCTTTTGGTGTACAGAAGGTGTATTCTCAAACACCAATTCATTTCACTGAAAACGTAGGGTACAATTCAAACTTGCCAAAATTTAAAATTTCTATGATCATGATATAATATTGATTCCTAGCAATATTACTGTAATTTTACTTTTGGTGTTGAGAGTGATGTTGCTTCCATTAGATTTAGTACATATAATCAATAAAATGCTGCCTGTTTTTATCTTTTTATTGTACATGTAGTTAAAATAAATAAAATTAGTTATTATAATATTAATTAATATTAATAATATTATTAAGTCTCAATATCCCAGGGGGATTCAAACTGAAAATTCCAACATCTAAACATAGGGTATGTAGTTATAGTTTTAATTTGTTTTTATCTAATTACACATAGTTCTTTGTAAATAAAAGTCAAACATAAAAATTAAATAATTAACAAAACTATTTTAAGTGCAGTGCATGATTTATGTAATACTGTATAAATAAAATACAAATACTATTTTTTATATATATTTATATTAATTACAGCAAAATTCATGAATCATTTCGGTAAAGAATTAAATTGTTCTTTTTGTTCTGGGAGACATTGCAATGTTGCTGGAACAAAAGCAAGACCGAGTTTAACCAGTTGCCTTTATGCATCAAGTTGCCGAAGCTGATACCCCTATTGCATGAATGGAAGACTCTTGTTGTGTTCTAACAGACTGTGTACAGTATGTGCTGTCTAATGGTTTACTAACTTGTTGATTCTTAGAGATGTAGACTCGTCGCTGTATATGGAAACTCCAACTTATGAAACAGTAACAAACATTGCAGTTGTCGCTAACAAGTTTGGTCATGCCCCGAAGGCCTATTATGTGGAATGGATATAGTCTACTGTTTGCAATACCTAAAAGCTAAAGGCATTGCTTTACATTGAGGGTGTCCTTCCATTTTAATTGCGACAATGACATCAAATAGTAAATCTCATTATAAAGAACTTCTTTGAGGACTCGAACCACTGAATCTGATTGGAAAGCAACCTAGTGCTTCACACCAAGTGTGCCATTTTGTCATTATGCACATAGAACTGACAAGATATAGGCCTACTACTTGTTTATCCTTGTGGTAGACCTACTTGGATAAAGATGCATCACAATGCAGAAAAGATGGAAGAGGTTATATGTACTAAAAAAAAAGACATTGCCCATTAATTCAATCAACCTGTGATCCAACAAACCTGGTTTGTTAAGTACTCTGTGCCACATAGTGACGCCGCTATTGTAGAGCACGAGATTCGTATGTGTATGGAATCGCATCACCTCAAAATCAACATCATTCGCTATACTTTTGGCTGTAGTTATCCAATCCTAAGGTGTTCTTAGGGGCATGGTTTAAACATTTTAATGAAATATTGTTCTACAAATAAGCATTATTAAGTACGAGAAACTGGACTTTCAGTATAATTGAGTCAATTATGTTTGGTTTTTGTGGACTTATTTAGAAATCAACACTTTTTGGCATTTTTTTTTTTTTTTTGTATTTCTCAGGGTGTCTCATTGAATGAGAGTAATAATATTAAAGAATTAAACATTTTTGGGCCAAATGTACAAGCACACACCGAACAGTAAGCCTTCCAAATCAATTCCACATTGCATTGTGTATACGTGCCTGACCCGCAAGTTGATGTAATGCCTTGCATTCAACTTCTTATAAGTGTAGAAAAAATTCTTACCATGCATGTAAGATTGGATCCTTTGCAGGTTCGCACTCAAGTTCCTGGTGGATTATAACCAAACACATTAGTCCCAAATTCTGTACTTAAAATTTTGGGATGTTTGAAACTATATTATTATCGAATTCGATAATTATTTTCTCATCCAATGTATATTACCAGTTCATTGTGAATTCTTTGCTATTTCAACGATTGTATTTTTTATATAATGACAATTTCTTTTTATTTCTCAATGAATAACATTAAAACAGATCCGTCACTATAATGCTGCCAAACCAATCTGTATTTTTTAATTAAGAATCGATTAAAACAAATTACACAATAAAAAGTAATACAAACCATGTACTGTGTCTCAAAATTGATTTTTAAAAATGTGTAGTTGGTCTACTTGAGTTATGATATAGCAGCGGGTACTGTGATGATCCTTAGCTCATTGGTCGAGCTAGTGATATAAACCAGCTGGTGAACACATCCAAGTCATCTGCATTTTTTGTGGCTGTGGACGTGCTGACTATTCGGTGCGATAACCCATCAGTTCGAGAGAAAATGTATTAGGCAATTTTCACTGCACGACGTTAACCTTAACTTTAACGTTAGTACTCAACATGGAGCGGGATAGCTCCGCCCCTTTTGTAAACAAATCGAAATACGCATGTGCAAACCCGTAAATAACGTACGTCGAGCACGTAAAATCCTGAAATTAACGTACTTCGCAACGCAAGATGAATAAATTATGACGTCATCCGTTAACGTTAAGGTTAACGTCGTGCAGCGAAAACTGCCTAATGTTGCAGTAACTGTTATTGATGAAATGTAACTCTTTAGTAGCCAGCGTAGCCTCAGCGATGTAGTAGCATAGTACCAGGCGTCTAGTTAAGTTAAGAGGTCTTGTATTCGATTCTCACAAAAAAACAATTGCGGATAGTAATATTTCGAGACAATGCATAACACGTCGGGTTAAAAAACAACACTACTACTATATGTATAGCTTTAACACTATTTATTGGCTATTTCATGCTCCTGGTGAAGTGTTTTCTCCACCAAACTTTAGCTCCACATTGTAACAGTTTTGCTGTTAGTGTTGTTCAACTGTTACTCATTGCTAATACTGTACGACACTCTTCTAGAATTAAAACTTATTTACTGTTAAGTAATATCTATTATTTACACAGGCATTAGCTTTCTTTGTATTCAACAGCTTAGCCCTATTCTTTTTTGTCACATTTTCTGCGACATGTTATGGTGTTCAGAAATAAAGTGATGGCATAGAAGTATGCTTTGTAGGGTTGTGGTTGAGATTTATTGTGATCAAAACAAATGTACGCCTTGAAATGACGAGAGATCAGAAACAGAGCCTGAAAAATACCAAATGACCATTGATATAAACTTATTAAATTTTTATATAAAATAACACTTATATAGCGGCCGATATGCCAATTAAAGCACAGTATAGTGTAAGTTTATATAATTATAGAACGTACACATTTTGTTTTGAAGGTCAGCTATTTATTTGTATTAGGACAAATAAATAAAAGTGAAATTAACTCATAATACACCGCCCAAACTAATGTATTATATATGAATACTTCTGAAAAGGATATGATTATTCAAACATATACTAATAGACATATATTTATTTTTTATGGACATCTTCATTACGATTGGGTGTATCCAACGTGGATATATTATGAAAAGGCAAGCTAAGTGAAAGTCGGTCGAGAACTGCCATTACAGACAACAAAATAATGGATTGATGGCGTCAGTTGTCATATGGCGTCATTTATCTGATCAGTCATATTAGGGGTGACGTCAGTGGAGGGCCCAGCCCCTCCCCCCCCCTCCCACTCGTCGGGGAAAAAACACAGTTCGTAGGGGTGGGGGGGGGGAAACACTATGTGTATTTTCAATATCATATATTATATTATAACGCCCCCGGCCCCTGGACCACTTTGCTCTAGTCAGGGATATGGGACCCCCCTCCCCCGTCGGGCAAATCCTGGCGCCACCTAAGTCGATAAAAAAATCTCCGTTGTGTCATTGAACTCATAGGCTATCTGTTGATGTCGGTTGCACTGTAGAAATATTATGTTTGAGCAGGGAGCAGGGTTTGAAGATCTGCCATCAATGATCCCTCCTTGTTTTGCAAACCCAATGCAACATCACTTTTTCATCTCATGTCATTTCGAAGAACATAAAGTCCTGAAAAAAGTAATAAAATTGAAAAGTATCATTACTGTAAATTAAGGTTATCGGAAATTATGATTTATACACATAACATCAATTCTGTTTCTGTGACGAAAAAGCATACCATAAGAAAACTTGCACCAATCAGCAAAGTCTTCCCAATAACGTCAAGATTCGATGGAACTGTAACAAAACGAGAGACAAATAAAGCATGCACGTGGTATAAAATATAAAAATATGAAGATAACATATTGCGCAATGACATCGGAAAGTTTATTTCATTTTATAGTTGCAGAAAAAACACACAGGTATACACCCTTACAATTTATAATGAACTGTTCGTGATCAACATTCAGGGTATCTTTTTTTCCTCGCCACTGTTTCTTTATTGCACCCTCTTCCTCCGTTTCTAATGCAAACACCTATAAATGATAAATATTATAATTATTATACAATTATAATAGATATTTTTAATGATTTATCAAAATGATAATAAGGATAGATAAAATATACATATAAGAGAACATTATATTCATCATAATGTACTCAATAAATAATAATCTGATTATAATATATGCCTACAAATAAGAATAATTTAATGGTTTACTTTAAATTCCATGTCACGGAAACATCGACAAGGACAGCAAGATGTGACAATTTCCAAAATTGGCTTTCCATCGAATGTTTCAACAACAACCTTTGCCCCAAACAATTTCCACCTAAAAAAAAAAACCAGATAATTGATTTTTTAGATGTGATTGGGACTTTTCATTTCAATATTTGTAATCTATGTTTCAAATAATAATTTATATTCTATTATAGTACTATTTCATATAGTACTATATAACGTTGTCATTATTCTGTTTTTCTAATAAAATACAACATTGATCATCTTCAGTATGTAACCCGCATACAATATATCGTTATTCATCCCACATGGGGCAATTCAATAAAAGAATCAGGATTACAAAGCTTAAAGAGGTTTAGAGACAATTATGTATGTTTATTGCTCACTTTTGTTTGACATATCCCAGCACTTCTCCATCTGGTGTCTGTATCATGAGTCGCATCATACAGCACATACAGCAGCATCCATCGCACCGGACCGGCCGCACGAATCGCACTATCTCCTGTCCGTGCTTATTTTGCAAGTAGATGTTGAATGATCGTGCTGGACCGCATAGGCATCTACAGCAACATGTCGTTTCTATTATAATGCAATAGTTAATGTGTTAATGTTGGACCACTTAAACCGTAGATGAGCAATGCTTTCGGTTAACAACTTCCTATTACTGTATTTAATAACTGTTTCTATCTATTCCCATTTGTTTACAGTAAATAATATCAATCTATCACTTCGATGTAGCCTACGTCATAACTTATGCCGAAATTGATCCATCTAATCTTGAAGCGAATGCAATCATCCTGATGTCCGGGTAGAATTTTGTAGGTCTAAACCTTATTGATTCAGACGGTTGTGACGTGAGAATGAGCTCGACTATCAATCGACACTCAACACAATGACACAAACATAGAAAAAGTAATGTTACCTTCAGTAGCGAAGAATACCTGTTGTTTCGTTTTATTTAAGATACGATATTCATTGTCTTGGTTACACCCGACGCCTAAAGATAATGAGAAACGTAATAATGATAGGCAACACATACATTCACTTGCTACCAATGTAAACAAAATCTAAGATACACTGTCTGTGGAAAAT